TATTATTATTATTATTATTATTATTATTATTATTATTATTATTATTATTATTATTATTATTATTATTATTATTATTATTCACTGATATTCTATATGATCTCTCCTGGATATTCTACCTCTTTCTTTTTCATGGTCATGTGAGGTCTAGAAACCAAATTTCCCCACTGTTAGTTTAATAGCTTTGACCACTATGACATATGGCCTCTGTCTTTCCAACTACATCTCCGCAATTGCCATGTTGGGCTTCTCCTTTCTCTACCTTTGGAATGTGGAAACCCCGCATTTTCACATCTTTTAGGCTTTGTCTAGGTATTGGTATAAATAAAACATATTTTGTTCGCTGGGTCTCATGTATCACAGCATTGGTGTAGGGCAGCTTGTGCCGATCATCATAGGAAATTGATCCTGAAGCACCAAAGACATCTTCAATCTCCTTGTGGACTTTTTCTGTGAGGGGAGGGAAAGGCAAATCCATTTTGAATGATGCCATTTATGATTTTTTTTTGTATAAATATTTTATTTTTTCTTGTTTGCATATCATTGTGTGGACAGTGTGGCACCAGAGTGTCTTACATTTTAAGAAAAATATGACAATATTGTTCATATTCAATACAGTTGACAATGTTATAAATTTTCATATTAATACACATATATTCTTTGATTATTTACCATTTCAGTATCTTATTTTTGTGTCAATTTCCATATTCTAAATATCCCTTTTTTGCTACAGATAAAATATTATTAATCATATTTGTAGTGTTTAATACAGTGGTCGCCAACTGGTGGGCCGAGGAGATGTCTGTACACAAAGCATTCCCCCCAAAGCAATTAATCCAGGTTGCGCGGGAATATACGCCCACATGGCCCGCCCACCTGCTGGCCCCACCCTTCAGCTGAGTGCAAAACTTACCCTGAGTAGAGCCATGCGAGCTGGAACTGGAAGGTAAAACCAACAGCAGGGGAGAGAAATCCACCCCAGGGTGGCTTGCGGACCTTGGTGGGAAAGTCAGCCCCATATTCCAGAGCTGCAGTAGTCAGAAGACTGGCCCTTTGGTTATTCCAGATCAGCTCTTCCAGTCCATGGCAGGCTGGTGCACCCGGGTGGAGGAGCAGCTGCTGCAGCATGACCAAAGGGCCAGTCCTATGACTACTGCAGCTCTGGAATATGGGACCTGTTTTCTCTTTGTCATTTGTGTCCTAGTTTCCAGCTCATCTATGCTCTATATTTTATTCAAAATTTCTTCACATCTTCTTGTCAAAGTGTCCTTCATATCCTAAATTTCTGTCACAATTTCTTCCCAAAGTCCAATCATCTTTGTTTTTATTTATTTTATTTCTTTTTGTCCAAAAATCCAACAATCTTTTATTCAAACTAAATCTACTTCTTAAACAAAGAATTCGATGTCCAAGAGTCTTTATATCCTCTGGTTAATCAGTTTCTTTTCTGAATAATCCAAAAGTGGAACCTTTATAGAACTTCCTTACAATTCAGTCTATATTGAAACTTTCAGGGGTCTTTTTAATAATAAAGTCTTTGTAAAAGACTTTCAGGGGTCTTTTAAATTTCCTTTCCTGTATTTTGGGAATATATTGTGCCTTCCTTTGATAGCAGGTGGTGCTCTTGCATCAGTTTTCACTTTATCTTGTCTTCCAAATTCTGCAAATTCTTCAAAATATTAATATAAAATTAAAATGGTTCCAGCATTTTACAATGCCTATCCAAAGCCAACATCTGTCCAATTTAACTTTCCAATTTTCTGTGTTTTAAGCGGATTTTCTATTTTCTTCCTTTCTTTTCCATTTTAAAATCTTAAAGTTTTAAACATTAAAATACTCACAATGTTAGGCCGCTACCACTTGAACAATAGTTCTGAGTGTCTCTTTTTCTGAATCTTCTTTTTTGGGGGGGTTACACTTTACATGCAAAAGATTTTTCTCACCCAGTCCCAGACACTGTTCACCAGCTCTGCTCCAGCACTTTTCTTGGTTACGAAGCTGTCTCCAGCTGTGTAGCAGCCATCTTGGCTGCATCTTCTTCTTGCCATGGCACAGAGGGCTTAGAAAGTCCTGGGGCTCTAAAAAAGAGTAGCATTCTCCCCTGGAACCTCTCAGGACCCCTCTCTTTTGCTTCACTGCCCCTCCAGGGTGGCTTTGGCTGATTAAAAAGCCCATAAACAAGAAGAAGCCAGCACAGGGATGGACAGCTCCAATCCCTTGTGACTGGTATTGCTGCGATGTCACTCTGTTCCTTGCCATTTATGATTGAATAATCTCTTACAGATATCTGGTTTTGTTAAATTATTTCCTATAAGTTTATTTATGAACAAAAACTTCAGGAGGTAGAGTAGGCTTAGAAAAACTACTACAAGTATGTTCCCTCCATCATTTTCAGAATTAAGTGCAGATTTGAGTCTATAACAGCGGAATGCATGAAAACTTAAACTTATTCAATATATTGAAAAATTAGTCAATCCCCTGATCATCATTCCATACTACTACATAGAATTAATAACACAAGTAGTCCTTGACTTCCAACAGTTCATTTAGTGACCATCCAAAGTTACAATGGCACTGAATAAAGTGACTTATGACCATTTTTCACAGTTACAACCTCAGCAGCATCCCCATGGTCATGTGATCAAAACTCAGATGCTTGACAACTGGTTTATATTTATGATGGTTGCTGTGTCCCAGGGTCATGTGATAACTGTTTGTAATCTTATGACAAGCAAAGTCAATGGGGAAGCCAGATTCCCTTAATAACTGGGTTGCTAACTTAACAACTTCAGTGATTCATTTAACAACTGTGGCAAGAAATGTCATAAAATGGGGCAAAAATTCACTTAACTTGTCTCATTTAACAACATAAATTTTGGGTTCAATTGTGAATTGTGGTTGAGGACTACCTATACAAATTACTACAGCAGTGTTGTTTAATATTTTTTTTATATTTATATCATTGGGTTTCTTTTAATTTGCAAACTAATAATCTTTATTTTGGGTTCTAAATTTCCATATAATATTATTGTGAATATATCAGTAGTTATTGAGATGTCAAAGAATTCCTGTGTATTTTCCACTCTGTTCATTGTTCCCACTTCCCAGAGTTGTCTCACCTTGGATGTCGGGATGATTTACCAAGAGAAGCACTGCCCACATCAGGCTAGAATAGGTTGTTTCTGCTCCAGCAATAAACAATTCAAGCAGACAGCAAGCCAGGTTCTCTTCACTATAGACAGAGTTGCGGTCATCCTTGTTCTATGTTTAAAATGAGAAATTCAACTTACAATAAATTTTAGGCTTCCTTCAATATGTTTAATGTTATTACCCACAAATATTTCCATGCTTTGTTTCCAGCACTCGCCCGTACGCATGTCCATCCTCTTATCCAGTTGCCACAGCTGCAGCCCAGGAAGAGGATCAAGGCCCTCTCCTCCCCAGTAGACCACATCTCTCCCTTATCCTCTCCTCCCTGCATGCCCTAGGATGGAGAGGGGATGGGCCTGGGTCCTCCTCTGACTGCCCAGCCGGCCTCTGCCCTTCCCCAGTCTCCTCCACAACCTCCAGAGCCACACTTCCGCTCCCTGTTGGCGGTTCCTCCTCTCCCTCAAAGCCCATTTCCACCAGGGGCATGACAGTGTCAGAGATGCCCAAATCTCCTCATGCCAAATTCATTCTGCACCAGCTGGAGCTTCAGGATACTTTTCAAGGATAACCCAGTGTAAAGTGCATTGCAGTAGTCTATTTGTGAGGTGACTAGGGCATGAGTGTCAGAAAGAAGAGCCTCTAAACCCAGGAAAGGGTGCAACTGGAGTACAACATGAAGTTGAGCAAAGCCACAACTGTCAACTCCCCAAGCAGGAATAGTGAGTTCAGGAGGACTCCCAGATTATTTATTGAATATGTCTGGGGCAGTCCCATATAAGATCAAAAATGGTAAACCTCCAGACACAAAACAGCCTGTGGTTTTCCAGCCAGACCTCATCAGTCTGCAAACATTGCCAAAGGGCATCCACAAGGACAAAGATGTGCAATTGGATAGTATCTACATATTGATGATACCTCATCCCATAGTGATGAAGATCTCACCCAATGGCTTCATGTAGATGTTAAAAAGGAGTGGAGATAGTACTGAGCCCTATGGCACCCCCACATATTGGGGCAGGACTCCTGTTCCCTATCAACAACATTTGGGACTGGCCTCAGATGAAGGAGGGGAACCAGCACAAAACTATGCCCTCAACCCTTAGCTCCCAAAGCCAACCCAAAACATGCTATGGTTGATGGCATTGAAGGCAACAAAGAGGTCAAGAACAGCAATAAAAATGCACTACCTCCAACCCATTCCTGCCAAAGACCATTGAAAAGTGCTCTTTTCTGTTCCATATCTGAACAAGTGTTTGTCTATGTGTCCACATAAACAGCTCTTCACCATATTTACACTGTACAATACTTTCATCAGTGCAGTCATGATCATAAAGGAGTAGCGTTTTCAATAGAGGGACTCCTTTGACAATGAAAAGTTCAGTCATGGTGCATTGCTTAGTGACAGGGGTGGAATTCAAATTTTTAAACAACCAGTTTTGTGGGTGTGGCTAGGTGGGTGTGGCCACGTGACTGGGTGGGCGTGGTGCAACCCCCCCCCCAGGTTTTTTTTGCCTCCTGGGCCTCAGGGGAGCCTCCTGGAGGCGTTTTTGCTTCCAGAAGGCTTCCTTGGGGCCCAGGAAGGCAAAAAAACAGAGCTTGGTGGGGGCCGCACAGCACTCCCCTACGCTCCATTTTTGGGCCTCCTGGGCCTCGGGGAAGCCTCCTGGGCAAAGCCGTAAGACAGAGAGGGGAATCCCGGCACAGCTGATCGTCGGGGGGGGGGGGGAGAAATACCTTAAGGAGTTACTGGGCAGGGAGAATGCAGTCAGCAATGTCAGGCATGCACACAACTCCACAGAATCATAACAACCAGTTCTATAGAACCGGTCTGAACTGGTGGAATCCACCTCTGTTTAGTGCACTGATAAGTACTCACCAGAGGCTTCCATTTCACAAAAATAGAAACACAACCTTTTTTCATAGAAATGATTGCCTGAAGTGAAAGAACAAATGCTTGAGAACACATCAGAGCTTCTAAAAAGAGGAATGCTACCATATGTTGGTGACTTATAATAAGGCAAGCATTAATTTTTATCCAATCCTTGCAAATAAAGTTTGCAAGACTTAATTGCCATATTGTAAAACTTTCTGATCGTAAAAGAAGACAAAAAGTCTATTCCCTTGTAAGGTCTATAACAATAAGAAAATGCAAAGATAGTGCCATAAAAATTAGCTGTAACAGGATTTCAGCACTGGAGAATTTCATGAACCAGTTCAAATATCAAATATCAAGTACAGAGCAAGGAGCAAGAACTACAGGAATGCACATCAGCAATTAGAAGATTTTTATACATTAGAGCAGTGTTCTCCAACCATGGCAAATTTAAGACTTGTGGACTTCAACTCCCATAATTGCTCAGCCAGCCTGCATCAGAGGAGCAACAACTTGGAGGCTGTCTCTGTGTGCAGGTAGTCCTTGGTTAGGAACAATAATTGGGTCCAGAATTTTCACCACTAAATGATGCAGTCATAAAGCATAATGTCATGTAATTGTGCTGTTTAGGGAAGGTGGTTCCAGCACTTTGAGTTGTCACCATTTGGAACTTCCTGACAGCTTCCCCACTGCTTTCTGGAAGCCAGCAGAGAAAATTGCAAATGGTGATCATATGATCAGAGGCACGTTGAACCAACCAGAACATGAGGACCAGTGTTGAGGTATTCCCCGTTAGGAGAATGAGTGCACAGGGAAATGTAGTGAGAGTGGTGTTGAATAACACACAACCAGCACACAGATACACTGAATAGTAAAATGTAGGTTTTACTTCCAGTAAACGGGTAAACAAAGTCCAACAAACAGTCCAAATCATACAGGTAGTATTCAATACAATCAGTCCAGGGATAATCCAAAAACGAAGTTCAGTATCATAAACAAAGTTCAGTAAACGGAATTTGCTAACAGTTGCAAGACTCACAGCAATCCAAGCAGAATGACGATCAGGCAAAAGGCAATAGGTAAAATGCAAGAAGAGAACAAACCAGGTTTCTGGCTCCATCTTATGGCCATTGGAGGAACCTCAGCCAATCACAATTACAGCACTTTCTTAAAGATACAACAGTATTAAATAACTATCCTGGTTTATATATTGCCAACCCAACTGTTACGTGACTATCATTCCTAACAACCAGCATTAAGTACCACATATTTTAGTACCATTGTAACTTCGAACAATTGCTAAACTAGTCTTGTTAAACAAGGAGCTAGTTCCCAGCTCTAGCATTGTCAACAAGGGTTGTGGGCTTTTTTTTGTTCTCTCTAATCTTCTATCACACAGCTAATGGTCTTATGTCCTATGCCTCATGAGGAAAATCAGTTTTCAGATGAATGGGAAGGTTTAATAGAATAGAACCGTGAAGGTGAACCTATGGCACGCGTGCCACAGGTGGCACACAGAGCCATTTGTGCCAGCACATGAGCTGCAGACAAACTTACATCACTGCACATGCCTGTGCCTCACAGCTGATTTTTGGCTGGTTTGAGGCCTTTTTCGGCCTCCCAGAGGTTTCAGGAAGGCTTCTGCAGGCTTTTCAACTAGGCCCGTTTTGTTACTGCCTGTTTTTCCAGAGATACCGGAAGTGACAAAACAGGCCTACTTTTTGGCCTGAAAAGACTGCAGAAGCCTCTGGGAGGCCGAAAAAGGCCTCAAACTAGCCGAAAATCAGCTGTGAGGCACAGTGAAAGTAAGGGGGTGGGGGTGGGTGGGAAGGGAGTGGGGATTGTGCACGCATGCATAGGGGATGTGGGGGGGCACGCATTGCCTTCTGGGTGCTGGCACATAAGTGCGAGCGTGCAAGCGCATGCACAATTTTTGGCACAGGAGTCCAAAAAGGTTAGCCACCACTGGAATAGAGACATAAGAATGCAAGCTTTATCAGAACATTACCATAGCAACCCTTGAATCTTAAGATGCAGCTATTTCTTCTAAGACCATTGTTCTCTGTAGAAAACAAAAGGGCATGAAGCAATCTGAGATCTATTACTTTATTACTTTGCAATGTGTACATATGAATCATTTCCCGCTCCTTTCTGAAATGCATATACGATTGTATGTCTCCTCAATTTACTACCACAAAGGAGCCCAAAATTTTGATTACAAAGCAAAACATTTGTTAAGTGAATTTTGACCCACTTTAGTGACTCAGGCTTCCCTACTGACTTTGCTTGTCAGAAAGTCGCAAAGGGTGATCATATCACTGTGGGACACTGCAACCATCGCAAATATATGCCAGTTGCCAAGTGTCTGAAGTTTGATCACATGACCACGGAGACGCTACAAAGGTCATGAGTGTGAAAAACACTCACAAAACATTTTTTTCCCCAGTGCCATTGTTACTTTGAATGGCCACTAAATGAACGTGCTGTAAATTGAGAACTACATGTATTCTTTTGGAGGAGGTGAATGGGACAACTTGCCACAACTAACTTGCTATGGCCAACTCACCATGGCCAACTTGCCATGGCCAACTTGCTACAGCCAACCCGTCATGTCCAACTTGCTGCAGGACAACTCACCACAGCCAACTCGCTGTGAGACAATTTAATAATTCTATTTAATTATTTAAAATAAGTAAAAATTATTTTAATTTTTGCTATTCACATTTCATTCTGTCCTTCCTTTTGCATCCTTTCTTTAATGATTGTGTTCCACCATTTCTTTGGTATTAGTGTAACTCTTGTCCAGCAGTGAGCAATCCTGTGGTGAGATGACCATGGCAAGTTGTCCTGCAGCTGTGGCAAGTTGGCCATGGTGAGTTGGCCGTGGCAAATTGTCACAGATCCTGGAGAAGAGCCCCTCCATTATGTCTAATAAACCCTATAGTGAGCCTTGATTTTTTTTATGCCCTGTATTTGAATTTCCACAGCGTTCATGTCAACTCATAAAATATTTCTATGGTCTTTCTAGAGTTGTCAACAGAAAGGGAGGGGGAGCTGTGCAGCCGCTTGCAAACTGAAACTGCATTCTATAAATGTTTTCAAAGATAGTAACTAGGTGACTGAAGTTTCTGACACGTAAAATTTTAACTGGAGAGCATGATTGTTGACTCTTGGCTATGGATGTGCCCTATTGGAGAATATGGATTATGATACACCCAGGGGGTGGAAGAAAACCAGGGTCAAGGGTGACAATGAATTATGTGTCTCAGAGTTGGCTACATCCAGGCAATGCCAGACAGTTTAGTTCCCAATAAATCCTTTTTGAGTTTTGGAAGTTTGGCTCAGGACTCATGATTTAAATGGGGGTAACTGCCTTCACCTGTCATCCACAACAATCTCCAGTCCCCAAATAATAAGAAAATTCTAAATGCATTCCATGAATACAAATTTCCAAATACATATCCCATCATGTCATGGATCCTAAGGAAAAATGGGTGGCATAATTTGATATGATAAACAAAAAATAAATGTGTATGTAAATAGGCAAAATACCTTTTCCATTTGTAGTAGATAGAAATCAATGAAATCCTGTGGGTCATGCAGAGATTGATATTGCTTGTGGCTTTCTACTTCTTGCCTTACAAATGAAAGGATAAACTCGGCAGACTCTATAGCCTTCTGGTGAGGTCCAGGAAGATGTTTCATCAACCAAGGGATTGCCTCATAAACCTAAATAAACAAATAAATAAATCCATCATGTCTTACTACCCCGTTTCCCCAAAATAAGACTTATCCCAAAAATAAGACCTAGCATGTTTTACGCCTGCACCTTATAAAAAATAAGCCCTACTTAAGTGCCTGCACAGTCGGCGGGCCAGCCACCCATTCCATCTGGTTGCTCGTGGTGCCGCTGACACAAGGTGAGGCGAGAGGTGGCGGCATGCCATATGTGCCCTGCACCAGCTTACCTCTGGGCTCCTGCAGCCAGGCCGCCCATGATGCAACAACTGCCTCTTGACCATGGCACCAGCATGTTAATTGGCCTCCTGCTCCATTGCAGCTGCGAGCAAGCAGAAGAAGTGGACTGGAGGCCATGCAGGGTCCTGCTGGAGAGGGCTGTTGGAGCCGCCACTTCAGGTGTTGGGGCATGGGTGGCCTGGCTGCGGGAGCCCTGAGGTAAGCTGGTGTGAGGTGTGTGGGGCTCCATCCTCACCTCAGGGCAGTGACACTGGTGCCCCACGTGGCCTCCTGCCCTGCTGCGAGCAAGCAGAAGAAGTGGGCCTCCCGTACATGGAAAAAAGACACCCCCTAAAAATAAGCCCTAGTGCTTACTTTGGTCCCCAAAAGAAAATAAGGCTGGGTCTTATTTTGTGGAAAACACGGGTATTATGAATAGTTAGAATAAATAATTTTCCCTCTGCAAAAGGGTTAGTGTGAAGGGAGGGAGGGTGCAAGAGAGAGAGGGGGGAATAGAGATCGGGAGAGAGAGAGAGAGGAGAGATAGTGAGAAGGTAGAGATACATATTGGCTTCATAGCTGCTCTATGAAGTATAATGCATATCCAGAATAAGGGTTACTTATTTACTCAAAGGATTTGTATCTCCAGTGAATTTGAGTTATGATTCAGGATAGACAGTACTGAAGCCCACCAAGACATCCACGAGGACCATAATGCACCACCGCCATCCCAGTTCCACTACAAGTCATCAATAAGCATGACCATTCCATCTTCATACTGTGTCCAGGTCTGATGCCTACCTGAAAGGGATCCAAATACAGGTAATCCTCGACTTAATGACCACAACTGAGCCTGAAATTAAATGAATGTTTAGTGAATTTTGCCCCATTTTAGTCCTTTCTCGCCATGCTTGTTAAGCGAATCACTGCAGTTGTTATATTAGTAGCACAGTTGTTAAGTGAATCAAGCTTCCTCATTGACTTGGCTTGTTAGAAGGTTGGAAAATGGGACTAAATGACTCAGGGGCACTGCAATTGTCATAAATGAGAGTCAGTTACCAAGCACCTAAATGTTAACCATGTGACCACAGGGATGCCGCAACAGTTATAAGTGTGAAAAATGATCATCAGTCACTTTTTTCCAGTGCTGTTGCAACTTTGAACGGTCACTAAATGAACTCTTGTAAGTCGAGGATTATCTGTAATGTGATTCATACCCAGGATTTTGGTGCTGTCGCACAACCACATTTTTCAACAAACTTAGCTAAGAAAGAAAGGTTGGAGACAGGATCGAAATTATCAGCCAACCAGATCTAGCAATGACTTCTTTCTTGAAGAGGGACTGGACCACTGCAGGTGGGACTATTCATTTTTTTCAAAGGGTCAGTATAATAACGGTCAAGACTGAATCGCGTTGCTTTGTTCAAAACCTAATGCTTTTCAACCTGCTGTGGGGCGGGAAGGGGGAAATCTAATGTGGAAAAATGTATGCAGGGATTGCGAGAGGCTTGGAGCCAGCAAAGTCACCGCTGCAGGTGCCTGGGAAAGAGATGGACTGTTCTCATAACAAAAGACATTCTCATAATTGGACAATGTGATCATCCAGGGGAAGCGAGAAAGACACAATATTGTTTAACTGGGCAAGCATCTGAGCAGGAAACCAGAGCTGATTTCGTTTTTTTTCAGTACCAACATGATCAATCCAATAAAGTTTTACTTTTGGGAATTCAATTCTCCCGAGAGTGTTTCCTTGTTTTAGGTTCACTAATTGAACAGTTGTCAGTAGCAAGTATGTCAATTAAATTTCTTGTCTTGTCTTGTCTTGTCTTGTCTTGTCTTGTCTTGTCTTGTCTTGTCTTGTCTTGTCTTGTCTT